ATATATATATATATATATATATATATATATATATATATATATATATATATATATATATTCCTCATAGAGTTGAATTTGATCAAAGGGTATTTTCAGAATATGTAACTCAGGAACATTAAGCAGGGAAAAAAAGAGTAAACTCTTTTCTGTAAAAATAACAGTCTAATGTTACCTGAGAAGCAAAATTTTAAATATGACTTATATCAGCTCTTATGGCTGATCAGCTAGCAGTCTGATATTTCCAATTCCTTCTACCTTGAAGAAAAGCGATAGAAAGTGTTCATGGTAATTATTTAGACATCCCTTCAATCTGTTACCAAGTACATTAAGATCCTATTTCTCATGGCCCCAGAGAGATCTGTGCAGTTGCTCCTCTGACATAATCAAAACAGCATCCTTGGATTATTTTTTAGTAATTACGTTGTTATCCAAAGAATATAGTAAAGATGTCTTAAGGGGAAAAAAAACAAGCATAGAAGCAGTTTTAGTCATGTAATGAATTGACAGAGATCCTTAGTATCTTGAACCATATACGCCAAAATGCATAGTATTTTATTTTTTTATTAAAATAGCTCTTGTTTCCCACATTAAAACAATAGTTTTATTCTAAATATACTTAAATGTATAGATACTCTCAAAAGAACACACACAAAGTATTAATAAATAAATAACAAAATACAAACAGTACAAAAGTATCACACAAAAGACAGCTTAAGTAAGTTATCACTTCTGATATAGTAGACACATTCAGACATTATAATTGACTCATTAGCTGTTCAGAATACTACATGCAATCTAGCTATAGTACACGTGTACTAACAGAAACCCAACTTCCAGAATAAAGATAATAAGGATGAAGGAACAAGATTGCATTCAGTGTTGTTTCTGCTGCTACATTCTATTGTAGTTCATCTATCACAAGACTCTTGGGCAACAGAATGCTTCTAAAAAATGAGCTAGTATTTAAACATTCATTTCTCTGCTAAAACTGATGTTAAGATTATAGCTACAGTAACTTCTGAAACACATTGCACTGATCACATTTTAGACAGAATAAGGTAAAGTATTATGGAGGAATATGTTGTCAGTTATTACTGAAAATGATCCCTTGGATATGTTTAGATAATATCTCCTCATGGATATATTTTTAATCAAAATTTGATATCAAGCTTAAGAATTTTGCTTTATTCCACAAAAGACTACACTCTAAGAATATGCAACTAGTGTCTTGTAAAATAATGTATTATGGTTACCAGACATATTGATTTTATTTTTAAAAGAGGATTATTATTATTTTCAGCTAGAAAAGCCCTTTCAGCAGTTGCCCTGAAAGCTTTAACAAACATACTTTCAGACACCATAACTACTAAACCAACAGAGGTAGAAAGAAGCAAGGAACTGGTGAAGGAGAGGTAGAATAAATGCCTAGGCATATTTTTTTTTTAAATACTCCCTCCTCAGTGACCATTTCCTTAGGAATGAAACCTGTTCAAGGAACACAAATGTTTAAAAAATTAAATAAAAAAAATCTGAAGAAAAATAAATAGAATGCCATCTATGAGTAAAATATTCACTGGTACAGTGCAAGATTAATAAGGTAACAGGTGTTTAGTACCAGATCCTTAATATAAATATTCTACACAAATCTGAAGACTTATAAAAAACTTGCCCCAAAAGATATAATTGTGTATCCGATCACCTAAACAAACAGCATGCACGTCAACAATTGCTGTGCAAGTTACTTGTTTAGTATAATTTACTGTCGCTCACTTGCTACAAAACAGTTCTGAAACCTGTTCAAAACCTAACTAATTTTTCTCATCGGTTTCTGTAAACATTGTTACTGGTATTCTTAATAACAATACTCAGCTTGCCCTTCTTCCCTAGAATTTTATGTTACACCATATTTCTTCAATAGTATATACAATGGAATCTTGAGCTCTAAATCTGAATTATTCGTGTTTGACACTGGGTAAACATTTCTTTCAATTCATTTTGCTGACTTTCATTAATAGTTTCTGGTTCAGCTGGGCTCTTCTGGACTTTAGCCACAGCAAAGTTGATTCCTTGGGTTAAGCCAGCTTGTGTAATGTTAGCTACCTGTGCCATTGAATTGCGTATCTTCGCAAAGGGAGAGACGGCCCTGCTACCATTATTCTCTGCTGGTGAAGGAGTCGCAGGAAACCCTGGCTCAGCTTCAAGAACAATAGATGAGGAGCCTGGGCTTTTAGGAGACTTAAATAAATTCATCTGTTCAACCACTAAATATTGTGGTCCTGTCTCGGAAAACGATACATCCAGTTTAGATGGTCTAGAAGGAGCCTTATTAGTTCCCAAACAATCAGCTGCCCTAGGAGCATTATTGCTAGTATTATGCGCCACTTCTGGGAGTTCTTGAGGACTTCTCTCATATTCTGAAACACTGTTGTTCATCTTGATTTTAGCATCCTGGACAAATCTGTGACAGTAAACATCAATCTGTTTAGTGGTATCTAGTGTTGTATCTTCAGCAGAAAGAGCTTCTTGAAAAGTTTTGCCTTCACGTTCCTTGTTCATTCGGTGTCCAGATTGTGCAGTGTGGATGTCTGAAGGAACAGGGATGCTAATATTGATATCGGTGCTGCTCACAGATTGGGACCGACTATTTAACCGAGGAGCAGATGCAATGATACCACAACTAGGTAAGACATAATCTATCTGCCCGCTCTCTAAAGAGTCCATGAATTGCTGGTCGTCGTCAGATCTGGAATTTGTCAGGAAATCATCTGAATGGAACGAGTCGTTATCAGACGAAATCTCAATGTCCGATTCTATATTGGCATTAGTATCAGTCATGGCATTTTCCATGGTTTCAAGACTACTGTCGGATTTCCAAAGATTTACTTTCAGATTGGGCTTTAAGAAATTGACTTTCATTTCAGGCTTTGTAAAGTTTCCCAGTTTTCTAAGATTGCTGATATTCACGTTGGATTTGGTTTGTTTCACTTTTTGATTAAGAGATGAAAACTTGTTCATTAAGTAATTCTTCCCCAGGGCCAAAGAACCTCTGTTCTGGGATCTGATCCCAATGATGTCCTCATGTGGTTTGCTGCTCTTCCTGAAAAAAAATGAAAAAACTAATAAGTTCCTTTGTTACTTGTACAATAAAAACAGCTGCTTTTGATCTCTTTTATTACACAGAGTGTACCAAAAATTGGGCTTCACAGACAATTTATTACACAAGTTATATTAAATGTTTGAATTGGTTAGAGTTAGGGTTACCATTTTCTTTTAAATACACCTTATTCATTTGATGCATGATCTTTAAGCATTCCAAGGTACAGGCATATTTTCTCTGGCCAAAATATATATATTTGGCCAGAGAAAATATGCCTGTACCTTGGAATGGTTAAAGATCATGCATCAAATGAATAAGGTGTATTTAAAAGAATACATATACTTAAAGTCACAACCCCTGGTATGCCCAAGAATGGGAGGAAGGTCACACTTCCACTCTCTGTCATTAGGCTCGTCACAAGATATTTATAGATAAATATATTCACACATATATTTATCAGCATAAATATAACATATATATATATATATATATATATATATATATAATCAATAGAGCATTCTGATTGGCTTAAAGGGCCTGACTTTGGTGCACCCTGGATATATAATTCCTTTTTTTATTGGGGTTTATTAGTACCGAGGCACTCAGCATCCTCAGTATTGCAAGACAGAATCTTCAGGTAATATAAATATTTAAGAACTTTTTGGAGTCCTTAGCGCCCTCTGAACTTGGAATGTTTTCTTGTAAGTGTTTCAGTATCCAGTTAAGTAACCACTCAGTGCTACTCAATCCCAAAAGCAAAGAACCCAAATTTATTTTATTTTATTTACATAAAAGCAGGTAAGTAATGATGCATTAATACTAAAAGATGGCTGGTGTATAGGTAGTCCTCGACTCACAACTATTCCTTTAGCAACCATTAGAAGTTACAATAACACTGAAAAAAGTGACTTACAACCAGTCCTCACATTTACAACCATCGCAGCAGCCCCACAATCATGTGAAAATTCAGGTCCTTGGCAACTGGCGTCTATTTACAATACAATATTGTATTACAATATTTACAATACAAACCTCCCCAGCCGGCTTCTGACAAGTTAAAGAAGAAAGCTGGATTTGTTTAACAATCTTGTGGTTCACTTAACAACTGCAGTAATTTGCTCAACCAATGTGTCAAAAAAGGTAGTAAAATCAGGCGCATTAAGAACTGCCCTGCTTAGCCGTTGAAATTCTGGCCTTGATTGTAGCTGTAAGTTGAGGACTATCTGTAATGCATACTACAAGAGTTGTAGCTTAAAGTGAATTAGATGTCAGGGAATTTATGAACATGAAAAAATTAAAGTTCACCTCTCCAGTTTTTTCTCAATAATGGGGACATCTAATCCCATGGCCTGCTTGGTGATTCGCAGCATTTCTGCAATGCACTGAAGAGTGTCTGAAATACAAAGAATCAAGAATTCCTGAAAAGATCATATTTTTCACTAGATGCTATGACAGTTTATTTGGATAGATTTGCCTTCCAAAAATAATGTATGTACTATGTACTACGTACTAAACATGAAAGGTTCACCTTCATTTTACATCAAATGACTCATATTAAGAAAGATAGGTACTTAAGCATAAAGCCAAAGAATTAAGCCATTTTTAATTGCAAAGATTCATTTTTATCCTTGACATAAAATAAAAAATGAAGATTTGTACTAGACACATGTTGTAGTAGCCATTGGAGTGGTACATCTATTGTCCGAGATATACTTCAAAATGCATGGTAGTGAAAGTATAATTGAAAGGATGCAACTTCTCTTAAATGTGTATGCTGCCCTTTCAGAAACCTCCTCTCTGCTCAAAAATCAGGAGTGGACACAGTTCTGGTGTCAGTAATTCAGTAATTAAATTGGCTAATTAATTTAAAATATAGTTTATTTTCAAGCACGTTATTCTCTTATTCAACTATTTAAATGTCCCATTTCATTTTCATAGCTAAATTGTAATTGCTCAGAAACATCTAAGTTGATTCTATTTGTTCAACAAAAAAGTAGATACTTACCTTTTCCATCCTCTTCAGGGCTGCGCACCACAGTTCTAAGCGTATGAAAGTACCCACTTGTATCTTTGTATTTATGATGAAGCCTCATGCACGAGAACTTGGGTTTTCCGAAGAATGTTGGTTCAGGACCTTATTTTAAAAAAGCAGTAACAATTCAGGAATGCCGAGTCTACTTTTTAAACAACACACTTCGTTATATCCACCAGGAACAAGGACTTTCCTAGTTCAACTGGGATGAAGTACTACTGGGTTCCACTTATCTCTGAACTGTATGCTGTGATTCTGTTCTATAGCTTCAGTTATACACTATTAAAAGATTAATCCCATGGATTTTGTTGTGTTTTTCTTCCTTATACCAGTGAGTAAGTGAACATTGAGGCTGAGGAGAATTTGGTTTATATCCGGTTTAGCAATGAAGCTCACCAATTAGTTAATCTCTCAAATTAAGAGGAGCAAGAATTTTTTTTGTACTTTGAGTTCCCTGGCAAAAGGCAGAATATCAAGATAACATTTTCATAAAAGCTCACCACCTTTTCTAGTATATTGCTTTAAAATTTTAAACACAGGGATTCCTCCATAGCATTACATGCATGGAAACAGCCACAGGCAGTAGCAAAATAGGTAAATAAAAGAAATATCTAGAACAGTTGTTACATGCTATATGGCTGTTCCATGCCACAGCCACCGTTTTATTAAACCCAATACACCTCTCCCCTGTTTTTTTCCCCCCAGTTTGCTCCTTACTCGGCTTCCTTTAGCCTCTGCCATCCTTAAGAGCAGTATATTTAACCTCCCATTCCTTCCCCATGAAAAGGCAGGAAGTTGGCTTATGTTGCTCATAAGGAATTGAGTTCCAAGACCAAAGCACCAACTAAAGGGAAAGGAGGAAGAGAAGGCACTGGGACAAAAGTGGACAAATTAGTTCACAGGCGACACAGAAGGGGAGCTGAAAGAAAAATGCAGCAGCTTTGCTTAGTCACCTGGTAAGATCATCCAGAATTTACCTAGGCCACAACCTGGAACAATTAAGATGTTGCTGGATTCACTTCAGCTAATTGCAACCTGCTCAGAACAGTTTGGCTAATTTCAGAGCCACTATTCATGAGTTTGTTTTCTCAAATTGAAAACAAAATATGTGTTCATTTGTTTCATGATAAAGAATTACAATCATTATACAAAAGTTTTTTTCAAATTGTTTTTTTCCCCAATTGCCGATATGCTACAATTGCCCTGGCAAGAAATAGGGATATAGAAAGCAAAATACATACCTATTTCTATCTTCTCCAAATTTTCAAGGCTCAGCCTTTGATACTGATTGACTTTATCTATTTCATCATCATAGCTATAAAGGGGAAAAAAGTGCCAAGAATTAAATCTTCACTGATAGACAAACCCTGGATAATGCAGTTCTGACAACTTTGTCTACAATGTGAAATAAAAATTATTACTTACTAGGCTACGTAGTATGCAGAGTTAGAAAGTAGAAGAAGAACATCCACATCTCTATGAGTAGCATCAATAAGGCTAAAAATAAAAGGACAGTAGTAACAAAAATGTTGAAGCATAAATCTCATAAAACACTTTTTGAAGATTTTTTCTATTTTGTTGTTAGGATGGAAACATTTATTAATAAATCATAAACCCAGTTCCTGATTCCTGAGCCAAGCAGAAGGAGGCTTCACCTCCTGCCCCACATTCTGAGATTCCTGTTCTAAGCACATTCATCCCACTGGATTCACCTCCCACAGTTCAACTTCACTTTTAACTGCTGAAGAAATACTTTCCTAATATTGATGTCCTTTAGAGAGTAAATGTCCTGAATTATATTATCCTTCATTAACATGCAATACAAATTATTGTTATTCTAGCATCAGCTAAACCCAAGGAGTTGCAATCATGATATAGCACAGTCTCATGTAAAGAGTTAGAAGGGCTGCAACATTATAATGATTTTATTTCATTCCTGAAACAAACATTCATGGATGCTAAATCATATAATGAAAAACAAAGTGATTAAAGTACTGCTTAGAGACCGTGGCATGACAAAACCGCGCTGGTCAAAATCGCGGCAATAAAATCGCGGCGATAAAGCCGCGACGTCATCACCGCGCGTCATCACCGCCGCGACAACAGCACGGCAACAGAAGGGCGCTTTAAAACGGCGCCGCGGCAGAAAGCCGACTTCAATTAAGGTAAGCGTTAGGATTAGATTTAGGGGGTTTAGGGTTTGTTTTAGGGTTAGGATTAGGGTTAGGTTTAGGGTTAGGGTTAGGGTTAGGGTTAGGGTTAGGTTTAGCGTTAGGGTTAGGGTTAGGGTTAGGGTTACAACAGACTAAAACCTGAAGCTTAGAAAATATGAAAGGAAAAGTACTTTCTCTAGCACCAAGCATGGACCATAAAGAAAACACAAGAAAAACTTTCTAGCAAGAATATTCTATAATTGTGTTATGTAAAATATACTTTCCCTAATACCTTTTTACTAAGTGTAAAGATATTGAGTATCCCCTCTACAAAGAATAAATCCTTTGAATATTTTATGCTAAGCAACCAGAATAAGCAACAAAAGACCATTGTACTTACCTGAACGGTCGTTCTCGATGTGCTGCGTGAGAATCCAAAGGAATGGGTTAATTTCGGTCTGGTTGCCTAGAGACTGAATTGAATAAACTTGGCCACGCCTCTCTTTTTCACTTGGCTCATCAGTTTTTTCAATGGAAGGCATGGCCGTTTCAAGAGAGGAAAACACATTAGATGTCCTGCTAACTGCGACACTCACTTGCCACCTGCGACCCTGGGCCAAAATGTGATCAGGTGGGGTTGGATTCTCACGCAGCGCACCGAGAACGACCGTTCAGGTAAGTGCAACAGTCTTTCTCCAGTGTGCTTCTTAGAAAATCCAAAGGAATGGGATATGCCTAAGCATACTGACCTAAGGGCGGATAGATGTCAGGTCCAGGGAGCCAGAGTCCAAGTGAACCGACATCCGAAGGCCGCTTGGCTGAAGCATAGACATCCAACTTGTAATGTTTAATGAAGGATGATGGAGATGACCATGTCGCCGCCCTACAAATCTCGACAGAGGCTTGCGTTGCCCAGGCCATAGTCGTGGCCGCACTGCGCGTCGAGTGGGCTGTGACGTTCCGGGGCAACGGCCAGTCCTGTGTCTCAGAAACATTGGCGATACAGGCCTTCAGCCATCTTCCAATAATGGTGGATGAGACTTTCTCCCATAGAACCAGGAAGTAAGGCAATAAAAAGGGCCTCTGACCGTCAAAAGGATGCTGTGCGCTTGATGTAACATTGAAGAGCTCGATGCACGTCAAGGTGGTGCCATTTCCGCTCGCGGGGATGCGTTGGATGAGGACAAAGGTCAGGTAACACCAACTCCTGGGCCCTATGAAACTAGGAGTTGATCTTCGGGAGGAAGGACGGGTCCAGGCGGAGGATCACTCTATTGGGGTGGAAAATGCAAAGGTCTCTGCGGACTGACAGTTCCCCAACTCCGATACCCACTGAGCCGAAGTTATGGCCACGAGAAAGGCCACCTTCAAGGTCAGTAACCGAAGACTGATGGAACAGATGGGCTCAAAGGGAGCTAATGTCAAGGCTTCTAACACGATGGGCAGCTCCCACAACGGATAACGATGGACTGTCGGAAGTCAAAGGTTGGCAGCTCCCCTCAGAAAGGCACTAACCCTGGGATGCTGTGCCAGGGTATGGCTGGTTCCACCGTGAAGAACCGTGGAAAGAGCCGCCGTCTGTCTTCATAAGGTGTTAGGGGCCAGTCCCCTATCCAGGCCGTCCTGGAGGAATTCCAGGACTTGAAGAAGGGAAGCCGATCTCAGGATGATTCCCAGGGGACGGCACCACCTGCAGAAAGCTGACTAGGTTGCGTTGTACACTCGCGTAGTAGATGGACATCTAACAGCTTGGATGGTATGGATGATATGTGTGGAAAAATTGTCACATCTCAGCATGTCCCCCTCAATGGCCAAACAGCCAACTGGAGCCACTGAGGGTCTGGGTGGAGAAGGGCCCCTTGGGTGAGGATTATCCTGTTGTCCAGGATCCTCCAAGGAGGGGCGATGGACAGGCTGGTTAGGTCGCTGAACCAGGACCTGCGGGGCCAGTGAGGGCGACCAACAACACCTCTACCTGCTCTGACAGAATCTTGCGAATCACCCTCTGGATGAGTGGTAAAGGTGGGAACTCATACAACAGCCCCCAGGGCCAGGGGCAGCAGAGAACATCGAACCACTATGCCCCAGGGGTCTGGAACCTGCTGAAGAACTGAGATAGGTGTGCATGGGCTAGTGATTCAAACAGGTCTACTATTGGGGGCTTGAACCTGCGGGAGAGGTCATGGAAGAGGTCCGGATGGAGACACCACTCTGCCTGGTCCAGTCGTCCGACTCGGCCAATCCGCTTGCACGTTCGTGGAGCTGGAGATGTGGTCCGCCCTGATGGAAAGAAGGTGAGACTTCGCCCACAGATCGTGTGCCTGTGCCTCCAACATCAGAGTCTTGGGGTGCGTGCCTCCCTGGCGGTTGATGTGTGTGTGTGTTTTGGCGGCCATGTCCGTGAGGATCAACACGTGCCACTCTGTCACTCGGTCTCTGAACTCCTGAAGGGCCAGGTGAACAGCCCGAAGTTCTAGCCAATTGATGTTGTTTGTTAAGTCCTGGAGACTCCAACGTTCCTGGGCTACGCAGGAGTGGGTGTGAGCTCTCTAACTGTGGAAGCTGGCATTGGTCGTAATTGTGACCCAATCCGGCTCTCTGAAGAGGACAACCTTTCAGCAAGGCTGAGGAGGTCCACCAGTAGAGAGAGCAGTTCACCTTGGAAGACAGACGCACTGTGATGTCTGGAACTCCCTTGTGCCTCCTTTGGTGGGGTAGGAGGAACCATTGGAGCTGCTGTGCGTGAAGTCTGGCTCAGGGAATGATCCCTATGCAAGAGATCAGTTTTCTGAGTAGTGTGTAAAGAATGGAAAGATGCATTGATCTTTGGGTCAGAACCTGGTTTGCCAGGGTCCGGATGATGGAGTAATGGTCGTGAGACAGAGACACCTGGCATTGAGCAGTATCTATTACAGCCCCTAGACGTAACAGTGATGTGGCTGGTAGTAATTGGCTTTTGTCCATATTTACCATAAATCCATGAAGCTGCAGTGACCGAATTGTCACTCAATGGTGTTGGTGGGCCTGCCTTGGAGATGATGACGTATCAAGACATCGTCGAGATAGGCTTGAAGTCTGATGGGAAGCAGTTTCGTGAATGTCCTTGGGGCCAACAAAAGGCCAAACGGCAGGGCCCGGTATTGGAAATGGCGCCCTGCATAAGTGAATCGTAGAAACTTCATGTGTGAGTGACGAATAGGCACATGAAGGTATGCCTCCTTGATGTCTACCGATGTTAGGTAGTCTCCCTGGCGAATGCAGCCCAAGATGGTTTGCAGTGACTGCATTTTGAAACACTTCTACGCCAGGTATATGTTCAGCCTCTTGAGATCCAGGATCGCTCTCCCCCCCCCCCCCGGGAGTTTTTGGGCGCTAAGAACAGAATAGAGTAAAATCCCCTCCGCTCTTGATCTGAAGGGACCGGATTGATGGCGCAAATATACAGAAGGTGCTGGATTTTGGTGTCCATGAGAGCTGCCGGTAGGAATACGGTTGAGACCTGCAGTCCGTCCGTCTCTGAACGAAGGGAAGCACTTTCTTTTTATCTTTGTTTTCTATGAGAATGGGATCCAGAGCTTCCCCAAAAAGCTACCCATGTTTGAATAGGGCTGCCGCCAGACGCCACTTAAAGCACTTGTCTGCCTGCCAATGACGGAGCCAGAGAAGGTGACGGGATGTGACCGTAGTAGCCAATGGTTCTGAAAACAAGCGTTCCATGGAATCTATCCCCAGGGAGGGTTCCAATGATGTGCCCTTGCCACCGATGTTAGTGGTAGACCTAGCTTTGAAGAGCAGGGATTTGAATAGAGTAGGCTGGAAGAGGCCCCAGGAGTGGGGACATCCGGGCGGGCTCCCTCATCGTCTGATAATTCATGGTCACTTTGCTCCTTATCATCCAGTAGCGACTCTTCACTGTGAACAGAGGGTGCGGGGGATGGAGGGTCCCCTGCAGGACTGGAGGCAGGCCGTGAAGGTGCCCTCAAATGCCTGGACCTCCTGCGGAGCTCAGAATCAACCCATTGTGAAACAGCAGCAGAGATAAGCTCCCTGAAATCTCTGGGTAGATCCATAATCTGATTATCCGCCCCACGAAGCCCAGCAGCTGTGGGGGTGAATGTGGCCTCGGGCGGAGAATGCCTGGCAGCAGGAGTGGAGTGTCTGGTATGAGAGGCCTGTTCAAAGCACTTGGTGTGGAACCAAAACCTAGGCCCACCTCCTCATCAGAAAGGCCTTGAACCTGGATATTATCCAGGGACCAATCTCTGGCTGTTGTCGAGGGGGAGCCCTGGAGTGATAAAGAAGGCAGAGCTTCTATCTGCAAGGGCAGAGAACTGGGGGCCCTGGATGGTTTAGGGGCTTTAGAGGCCCTCTTAGAAGGGCCTGGGGCTTGGAACAGGAGTCCTTATCAGCAGCCGCTGGGGCTTGGAACAGGTGTCCTTATCAGCAGCCGCTGAAACAGAAGAGGCCTTAGGTCTACTGGCCGTGCTCCTGGTGGTAGCCCTCCCCACCCTGCCAGGCGGAGAATCCCTCAAGGGCAAACTTCCAGGGGAAACTCCTTCCCCCGATGCTGCAATGGAAGCACGGTCTGCCATTCTCAGTACTTACTTACGGAGTGACTTATCGGGGAAATACAAGGCAAACCTGCAAGGGACCCAGCGCTCCTGGCTGCTCAATAGAAGATACGCAATCACCGCAAAAGAAGCGCCAAAGCCACCCAATTTGAGATCGCCTGCGGATATTAGTCAGCAAGATCGAAACCACGCTGCTGTTCTCTTCGGAAGCCGGCTCACAATGAGGCTCTGGGCACTTTAAAATGGCCGACTCTGCTCAGGAGCCTAATTGGCACTGAGAAACAATGGCCAGCCAATCAAATACAGCCAATCAGCGATCCGTATTTCCAGGCACAGCCCCCACGCGCGCAATTTGAAATCCGGACCAAAATGCTGGCTCTGCAAGTCCGAAGCGGTAAAGGCAGCAGCGATGGGAGGATGGTGCACCAAGCCTCCAAGAACAGACAGAGGGGCTCGAGAATGGCACACCAAACTCACGGCCCTCGGAACCAGGCAGCAATCGAGAACGGACTAGCCTGAGTGATCAGGCAGAAGTAGCCGAGCACATATGCCCTCCCCTGGAGGGAAAAAACCTCGCCAGCGATTCTTGCCGGCAGACCGGGCTAACCAGCATGCCCGCCAAGCAAGCAAATTACAGATTAACCTAAATAAATAAAGAAATTTAATACCTGAGACTGCTAAGAAGAATCCAAAGGAAAACCTTCTTAAAGGTACAGAGAAAATGTGGATACGTCTCTTTAGGCAGACTGAATTGAAAAAACTGATAAGCCGAGTGAAAAAGAGAGGCGTGGCCAAGTTTTTTCAATTCAGTCTCTAGGCAACCAGACCAAAATTAACCCATTCCTTTGGATTCTCTAAGCAGCGCACTGGAGAATAAATAAATCTCAGCAGTACATCAGCATAAGCAGACCATCAGTGTAAAGATCCCAAATTTTAAAGTTCTTTAAAGGTCAAAAACTTTGATTATCCTATTTTGAATCCACTTGACATTTCAAAATTTGTAATGGCTATTACTAAAATTTCTATGAGTGAAATCAGTATTGTATATGATACAGTTACATAAAAGTACCAACCATTCTGAAAAAATAATTATAAAAAATTCTATCTGCCTAACGCTGAAAATAGTAAGATTTTGATTTTATATAAATTCATACATTAATCTGCTGTTTTTGTTCGTCAACAGTATACATATTATCAACTTTCTTACTCTACTCACTTGGAATTCATAATAAATTGCAAAAAAGAGAATTATTACAATTCATATGTTTTATTCTCACAATTTGTCTTAGGACAAATTGTGGAAAAACGTAGGATTTTATAATTAAATATTTTAGACTCTGCATACCTGGGGTCGCAGTCAATCAGTGCCCAACCACCATGAAATTTTTCATCGTCTGGTAAAAGCAATTTCATGTAACTCTGCAATAATTGGCTAATCAATTCCTGGTGAGTCCTCAAATTTTCCTTGTGCAAGGCTTCATGCTCTTTCTCTTTGGTAAATATGGAATAGAGATCTTCTGTCACAGGAATACCCTGCATTAAATCTAGACAAACAGAGAGTACATACATGAGCCAAGGTAGCGCAGTGGTTAAATGCAGCACTGCAGGCTACTGCTAGATCAGCAGGTCAGCGGTTCAAATCTCACCGGCTCAGGGTTGAC